TCCAGATTTGGTTCCAAAGAGGCCCCAAAGAATCAAATGAGGCCAAAGTTGGGTCAAAAAGAGACAAAATTTGGGGTAAAAATGGGGTAAAAAGGGGAAAAAAAGAGTGAGATTGGTGCAGGTTTGGGTCCAAAGGTCCATGAAAGGTTCCTGAGAGACTTCCAGAAGGTTCTGGAGCCATCCTGGGGGGTTCTAGACTACCCTGAACAGTGCTGGGTGGTGCTGATGTTCTAGATCGCCTTGGGGTTCTAGATCGCCTTGGGGTTCTAGACCAACCTGGGGTTCTAGATCATTCTGGGGTTCTAGATCGCTCTCGGGGTTCTAGATCAACTTGGGGTTCTAGATCGCTCTCGGGGTTCTAGATCAGCTTGGGGTTCTAGATCACTCTCGGGGTTCTAGATCGCTCTCGGGGTTCTAGGTCAACTTGGGGGTTCTAGATCAACTTGGGGGGTTCTAGATCTCTCTGGGGTTCTAGATCGCTCTCGGGGTTCTAGATCAACTTGGGGGTTCTAGATCGCTCTCGGGGTTCTAGATCACTCTCGGGGTTCTAGATCGCTCTTGGGGTTCTAGGTCAACTTGGGGTTCTAGATCGCTCTTGGGGTTCTAGGTCAACTTGGGGTTCTAGGTCGCTCTCGGGGTTCTAGATCGCTCGTGGGGTTCTAGATCAACTTGGGGTTCTAGGTCGCTCTCGGGGTTCTAGATCGCTCGTGGGGTTCTAGATCAACTTGGGGTTCTAGGTCGCTCTCGGGGTTCTAGATCGCTCTTGGGGTTCTAGATCAACTTGGGGTTCTAGGTCGCTCTTGGGGTTCTAGATCGCTCTTGGGGGTTCTAGGTCAACTTGGGGTTCTAGATCGCTCTCGGGGGTTCTAGATAGCTCTCGGGGTTCTAGATCGCTCTGGGGTTCTAGATCGCTCTCGGGGGTTCTAGGTCAACTTGGGGTTCTAGATCGCTCTTGGGGTTCTAGATCGCTTTGGGGGTTCTAGAGCGCTTTGGGGGTTCCAGATCGCTCTTGGGGTTCTAGATCATTTTTGGGTTCTAGATTGCTCTTGGGTTTCTAGACTGTCCTGCCTGTTCTGATGTTGCTGAGGTTCTAGATCGCCCTGTGGGCCTTGAGGGTCTTCCAGAAGGTTCTGGATCCATCCTGAGGGTCCTGAGGGACTTCCAGAAGGTTCTGGATCCATCCTGAGGGTCCTGAAGGCTGCTGAGGCTCTCCCGGGGTTTTGGACTGTCCTGGGTGATCCGGAACCTCAGCACCGGGCGAGGTCCAGCAGAATAGTCCAGAACCCCCGGACTGGTTCCAGAACCTTGGGACTCTCAGGATGGATTTTGGGGTGAAATTTGGGGATTTTGGGGTGAAATCCCAGGGGATTTTGGGGTGAAATTTGGGGATTTTGGGATGAAATCCCGGGGGATTTTGGGGCTGAAATTTGGGGATTTTGGGATGAAATCCCAGGGGATTTTGGGGCTGAAATTTGGGGATTTTGGGTGAAAATTCAGGGATTTTGGGAGGAAATCCTGGGAAGCTTTTGGGGTGAAATGATAAGTTTAAGAGCATCATGATGGAGGTGGGAAAACCCCTGGCTCAAGCAGCTTGGTGCTGAAGTCTGGGATGGGGCTGGACACTGCCCAGGGGCCTTTTCTGTGTCTGAGCTGCTCCTCTCTCCCCACAGTGCGGGACCGACTGAGGACAAAGATAGAGAGGGACATCCTGGCCGATGTCAACCATCCCTTTGTGGTGAAACTCCACTACGGTGAGTCCTGGCTGCCTTTAAACACAATCCCCTGAGCACAAATCCTTTCCTGGAAGGATCTGTGGTCCCACTGCCTGCTCCAGCTAAGGAATGGGGAATGGAGAATGGATCAGGAGAGGAGGTTTAAACATTAAATCCTGGGGATTAAAACATTAAACCATGAGAAACTGAGAAAGCAGAGCTAACTAGCTGAGCTGGAGTTTGGCAGGGTTAATGTTCTGACTCTGGGGAAGGCAAGGACAGCTTTGTTCCCTGTAAGGTGACCAGTGAGTGCCTCTCCCAGGAAAACAGCCCTTTCAGGAGGGTATCACTGGCAGAAAGGGAACCAGACCCCCATAAAATGAGGATTTTCTGCAGTGCCAGAGTGCTGTGGGGAGCTCCCATTTCAGCAGCAGGGACAGGCCAGCTCCTTTACCCCATCAGCCCTACCTGCATTTAACCCAGGAACCACGCAGGGCATGTACCCAGCTGGAGCCACTGGGATTTAAGTGATTAATGTAACACCACGGAGCCTTCCCTCAGTGCAGGGGTTTGATTCCTGCTCTGGGCTTGTGTTTCAGCATTCCAGACAGAGGGGAAGCTGTACCTCATCTTGGATTTCCTCAGAGGAGGTGACCTTTTCACTCGGCTTTCCAAAGAGGTGGGTATGCTCCGGCATCTCGGTGGGCTGCTGAAGCTCAGCTCATCCCTGGTCTGGAGAAGTAACTCACCCTTGCAGTCCTTGAGAGGGTGAAAACAGCCTCCAACCTGCTGCTAGTGCAGAGCTGGCACCAGGGGAGGGTGTTGTGGGAGCCCTGAGCTCCAGCAGAAAAGCAGCAGCACGGGTGGCAGGTCCCACCCCTGCAACAGCTTCCGATGAGCATCTCCTAAAGAACGAGAACTAAAACAAGGCAATGAGAACTCAAACTGCTCCCTGGCAGGAGCCAAGTCCCTCTGTCCTGGAGGCTGAGCTTTATAATCATCTCTCCTGCTTTTTCTTACCCTTGCCATTCTCTCTTCTGCTCATAGTATTCCAATGTTGCTTGTGTAGTAGAAAAACGTGGCTGGGGCAGAGTACAAATGCTGGAGAGTGGAGTTGAGTGACACAGAAATCCTTCCCTGTGAGGGTGGGCAGGCCCTGGCACAGGGTGCCCAGAGAAGCTGTGGCTGTCCCTGGATCCCTGGCAGTGCCCAAGGCCAGGCTGGACAGGGCTTGGAGCAGCCTGGGATAATGGGAGGTGTCCCTGCCATGGCATGGGTGGCACTGGATCCGTTAAGGTCCATTCTGATCCAAACCATGAACAGTGGGGGGAAGTCTGGAAAACAGAAAGGGCAGGAGGGAGCAACACGGATGTGGAAGGTCTTGCCTGGGTGCAGGGGAGCTGCTGGCATTGTAACCCAGCACCTCTCTGCTTTCTCCCCCTCCCTGCAGGTCATGTTCACCGAGGAGGACGTGAAGTTCTACCTGGCAGAGCTGGCACTGGGGCTCGACCACTTGCACAGCCTGGGGATCATCTACAGGGACCTCAAGCCAGAGAAGTATGTGTGGCCAGCTGAGGGAGGATCCCAGCCCTGCAGCCAGCCCAGCCTGCAGTCAGGGAACAGCTTCCACCTTCCTGAGGGGCTGGAGGATGCCCTGGGGCTGGACAGATGGGAGGTGGTGGTGCCAGTCCAAGGCTGCTGCTCCTCAGAGCTGTGTGTGCCACAGGGCCGAGCAGAGATCCGTGGCAGCCTCCAGGCTCCAGCTTTAGGCAGCTGGGAGCCTTCAGAGGGAGAAGGGAGCAGGCTGGGCTCTGCAGAGCCCACCCCAGCTTGGTCACCCTTGCCTGGGGTGTGTGGGGATCAGAGGGGATGACCTCTGGGGCCACTGGTTCACTGTGAAGCCAAGGATGAGGAGAGGAGGGAGCTGCTCCTGGCCCCACTCCTGTCTTGGTGGTGGAGCTTAAAGCACTGGGAGAAGGGACAGGTAGCTTTTCCTTTGGATTCTGGGAGCCAGAGGATGATCTTGGACTATCCTTTGCTGTGCCTGTTCTCACCAGCTCTTATCACAGACAGTAACAACTTGTTTTTCCATTCCTGCTGTAGCATCCTCTTGGATGAAGAGGGGCACATCAAACTCACAGGTAAGGGGCTCCACAGAGCCTTGGGCTCCAGCAAGGTTGGTTCCTGACATACAGAGCTGCTCGAAATGTTTGGAGTAGTGGCTGTGTGCTGACAACTTCCCCTTGTGCAGATTTTGGCTTGAGTAAGGAGGCCATAGACCACGAGAAGAAAGCCTACTCCTTCTGTGGTACCGTGGAGTACATGGCTCCGGAGGTGGTGAATCGCCAGGGCCACTCGCACAGCGCTGACTGGTGGTCCTACGGGGTCCTCATGGTGGGTACCCTGTCCAGGACTGGGAATGGCAGCTGCCCCTGCTCTGGAACCAGGCAGGGCTCTGTGTGTCCTCCAGACCTGCTGACCGGGGAGGGGGGCTCCCCACACCCCCCAAAACGCTCCCTAAGGGGCTCCAGCCAGGAGCGCTGGTCCCTGGAGGCTGTTGTGCCAGCAGGTGCTGGGGTGTGAGGGGGCTGTGGGGTGTCCATGGGGTGTGTGGGATGCATGGGGGTCTCTGTGGGGTGTGTGTGGGGTGTGTGGGGGTGTCTGTGCCCACCCCAGCGCTGGCCCATCGCTGTCAGTGCAGATCTGGTGCCACCCTCTGGCAGCTGCCGGATCCCCGGGCTCCGGGAGGAGCGGGCGCTGCCTGGACCCGTTCCCACACAAACCCTGAGAGCCAGGCTGCTGCTGGGAACGTGCCGTGCCTGAGAGCTCGGAGAGCTCTGTCACAGCCAGCTTTGGGACCCCTCACAAGCAGGGAGGGGCAGTGGGACCTGTGCGACCCTGAGCCTCGCTCGGACATGACCCCCCTTCTTCTCTTTCCCTCCCAGTTTGAAATGCTCACGGGGGCACTGCCCTTCCAGGGGAAGGACCGTAAGGAGACGATGACCCTCATCCTCAAGTAAGAGTTTCTCTCTCTCCTGTCTGCACAGGAAGGGTGTTGCAGCTGGGGGCTCTCGCAATTTTGTGGTGTTATTTGGCAAGTGGTGCCATATCAGCCATCGGTTTAAAGGGTGCAGTGTGAATGCCAGAGAGATGATTGTGCCTTTTGGGGGTGGAGGTGCTGCAGTCACCTTGTGAGCTGACTTCTTCAAACCTGCAGCTGATTGTGTAACTTCCTCCCCAGAGCGAAACTGGGCATGCCACAGTTCCTGAGCACTGAGGCTCAGAGCCTCCTGCGAGCCCTTTTCAAAAGGAATCCAGCCAACAGATTAGGTAAGACCATTTTTTTTGTTTCTGAATGCCCCTGATGCTGTGTGGAGGCCTCTCACACCCCCCTGGCTGGGTCAGGGCAGCTGGGTGATGCCAGCCAGGCTCTCTGTGACATCTGGCTGTGCCCCTGGCTGTCCCCTGTGCTTTGCTGGGGGTTCAGTACAACGTGACCCGCGGTGGCTCTTGCAGGGTCTGGGCCGGATGGGGCAGAGGAGATCAAGCGCCACCCTTTCTACTCCACCATCGACTGGAATGTGAGTATCAGGAGCAAATTCCTGCACCACTCAGCACCAGTAACACAGTTCTGCAGCAGGAATAGCACAGCCCCTGTCCCCATCCACTCCAATAACCCTTTCCAAAACCAAAATTCTCTGTCATGTAACTGTCTCATATCTGGGCTGCCTGACACCTCACTGAGCTGTAGCAAAATGCTAAGACACAGAGTTTCACAAAATCTCTTCCTGGCCCTCCTTCCTCAGCAGCCTGTGCACCCTGTGGGGGCACTTCCAAGCTGGTTTTGCAGCTGTTTTTTGGTTCTGTGTGTTTTGCAGAAGCTATACCGCAGGGAAATCAAACCCCCTTTCAAGCCTGCAGTGGGCCAGCCAGATGACACCTTTTATTTTGACACAGAATTCACGTCACGGACACCAAAAGGTTTGTATGACTTGGGGAAAAGGCCAAGTTTCCTGTGAGATGTCACTTGGTGGCTTCACTCCAGGGAATATCTGGCAGCAGCAGGATAAGGTTTCTGCACAGGGAAGGTTCAGGTTGGATATCAGGGAAATTTCTTCTCCCAAAAGGGTTGTCAGTCCCTGTTACAGGGCAGTGGTGAAGTCACCATTCCTGCAGGGGTTTAAAAGCCATGTGAATGTGGCACTTGGGGACATTGGCAGTGCTGGGGGAATTGTTGGACTCGCTGATCTTAGAGGGTTTTTCCAAGCTGGACAATTCCATGATTCTCTGTGGGACGTTAGGGGTAAGCTCAGTGCTGCTGGAGTGGCTCCTGTCTCGAATAAATTCCAGCTATAGCTCCTGGGAGTGAGGGGGAGGCTTCTGCTCCTCAGAGCCTTCTCCAGCTGTCTCTCAACTCCTGCTGCAGATTCCCCGGGTGTCCCCCCGAGTGCGGGGGCCCATCAGCTCTTCCGAGGCTTCAGTTTTGTGGCAACCGGCTTAATGGAGGATGGCAAAGTGAAAGCTGCCCAGCCACCCCTGCATTCAGTTGTGCAGGTAAGGAATGGGACAGAGGAACAGCTCTTTGGAGGTGCAGGGATGCTCCGGGACCTCTGCACCACCTGGATCCCGAGGCAGTCCTCTTTGGAATTCTTGCCTCCTGTTCTTTCATCACCGCTGACTGTCACGTTGTGCACAGGCTGTCAGGGCAGTGTGGGGCTGTGGCTCTCCAGTCCCCAGGCGGATCAGTGCTGGCAGGGGTCTGTAATGCCCACGGCTTGGGCAGCCAAAGGCAAAGGCACCGTGCTCGGTGCAGGCAGTGTCGGCCCACTGACCTATATCTGCCTCGTTCTCCTCTCCTCCCGCTCCCCGCCGCGAGGAGAAGCTGTGGGATGCAGCAGACAGTCTGACAGCTCTCTCTGTGCTGCACTTAACTCATCATATTGCACAAACCCCTCCCTGAACCCTCCAGCTCAGCTCTCCTTTGTGCCCTGGCAGCAGCTGCACGGCAAGAACGTCCAGTTCAGCGATGGGTACGTGGTGAAGGAGGCCATCGGCGTCGGCTCCTACTCCGTCTGCAAACGCTGCATCCACAAGGCCACCAACATGGAGTACGCAGTCAAGGTCTGGGATCTGCCCTCCAGCTGAGCAGCCCGGTTACATCTTTGCCCAGAGCAGCTGGGGCTGCCCCTGGATCCCTGGCAGTGCCCAAGGCCAGGCTGGACATTGGGGCTGGAGCAGCCTGGGACAGTGGAAGGTGTCCCTGCCCTTGGCAGGGGGTGGAACAGGATGAGCTTTAGACTCATCTAGGACGCAAAAGGACAATTTCTGTGCTGCTCTGCGGGTACCTGCCCTTCCCCAGGAATAGCAGGGAAGCAGTGTCCTCCTCCCTCAGAGTGGGGAGAGCATCTCATCTTCCTGTGCAAAACTGTGGCTACATCAGGTCTTAACAAAAGACAAAATTTTGTGGGATGGGGACACAGAACTGATGAAGCAACTGAAGGATTTCTAGAGCTAAAGAGATGAGGGGACAGGGAGTGGATACGGCACAGGAGCTCTGCAGGGCTCCAAACTCAGCTCGTGTGCTCTGTCCTGGTCCCTTCCCCATCCGTGGCTAAAGTGTGTCTCTGCTCTTGCAGGTGATTGACAAGAGCAAGCGAGACCCTTCTGAGGAGATTGAGATCCTGCTGCGGTACGGGCAGCACCCAAACATCATCACCCTCAAAGACGTGAGTGTGGCTTGAGAGATTTCCCTGTGCTTTGCCTGAGGAAGCGCAGGCTGGCAGGGGCAGAGCTCAGCCCCAGCAGGGGCAGCACAACAACCCAGCTCCACGTGTTGCTGTTCCTCTTCAGGACCAAGTTCTTCCCCCAGAGCTGCTGGCACTGCCCAGGCTCCCCAGGGAATGGGCACAGCCCTGACACTGCCAGAGCTCCAGGAGCTCTTGGACAAAGCTCCCAGGAATGCACAGGCTGGGATTGTTGGGGTGTCTGGGCAGGGCCAGGAGCTGGGCTGGATGATGCTGGTTGAGATATTCCAGGTTGAGATATTCTGATATATTCTGATATCCTGATTCTGGGCTGGGGAAGCATCCCCAGAGCCACCTCTGCTGATCCCTGTCTGCTCCTTGGTGATGGAAGCACAAAAGGGAAGCTCTGGAAGCACATGTTGATTACCCCACCCATGTTTTCTTTGGCAGGTGTACGATGATGGGAAGTACGTGTACCTGGTGACCGAGCTCATGAGGGGAGGGGAGCTCCTGGATAAGATCCTCAGACAGAAATTTTTCTCAGAGAGAGAAGCCAGTTCAGTCCTGCACATGATTTGTAAAACAGTGGAATATCTGCATTCCCAAGGGGTGAGTGTGGTCACGACTATTTTCCTGGGAAGCTCCCTGCATTACCCTGCACTCCCTCTCCTCCAGGGAGTAGCTCTGCCCATCATGACAATTATTTCTTGCTGGTGCTGCCCTCTTGGCAAAGCAGATGTGGGGCCAGAGCAGGGGATGAGTGACCTCAGGCAGCTTTCAGACCTTTATCTTCCTGGGGTACGAGCACAGCCTTTTCTTGTCTCCACAGGTAGTTCACAGGGACCTGAAGCCCAGCAATATCCTCTACGTGGATAAATCAGGGAACCCCGAGAGCATCCGAATTTGTGACTTTGGCTTTGCCAAGCAGCTCAGGGCTGAGAACGGGCTCCTCATGACCCCCTGCTACACAGCAAACTTCGTGGCACCCGAGGTGAGCTGAGACCCTCCAGCAGTCCCTTTGTCCCTCCCCTGACCTCACCTGACCTGTGCCCCCACTTGGCACAGTGGGAACCCTGTTCCCATCTCCAGCCCGCCCTGGAAGAGGCAGTTACAGAAATATCACTTGTAGTAATGAACCTATTTTGAATCCTGATCTTTTAGTCCCAGACTTTGCTGTTCTGTCCAGCTCTGGAAGCTTTGCACATGGACTGCACCCAGGTCAAGCCCCTCTTCTGAAATGAGCTCAATGTCAGGAGCCAAACACACTTTCCTCCCTTTGCTTGTTGTGTTCAGGTCCTGAAACGCCAAGGCTACGACGAGGGCTGTGACATCTGGAGCCTGGGGGTCCTGCTGTACACGATGCTGGCAGGGTAAGGCAGTGCTGGGGCTGTGACCTCCCGTCCCCAGCGTGCTCTGTGGGGACAGCTGCCCCTCTCCTGCCTGGGTCAGTAAATCCAGGGCTCTCTCCTCTCCTCTCTCCCCAGCTGCACTCCCTTTGCAAATGGTCCCGGTGACACTCCAGAAGAGATCCTGACACGGATAGGAGGGGGGAAGTTCTCCATCAGTGGGGGCAATTGGGACACTATTTCTGACATGGCCAAGGTAGGGTTTGATATTTGTGTTACACTCAGGGGTTGGGGCTGCTGTGAGGCAAATTTAGATCAGGTTGTGGAGGGAGCACACAAGAGAGAAGAAAACCAGCACTGCAGCTTCTACCCCACACATGTCCCTCCACAGCAGCCTTGTTTCAGCTCTAGCTGTGGATATTTGCATGGAAAACCAATCTCATGCTTGACCCTTGTGGGGTTTGCTCTGTGTTATGCCCCCCAGGCCTGCCAAAAACGTATTTCATACAAAAAGGCATTGATGTCTGGGGACTTTAAACTTGGCCTCTGAATTCAAATCCTAATCTGAGGGTGTACACAGGTGGGTTTTTTGCATTTAAATTATGAAATCTTCTAAAGTCTGACTTTCCAAACAACGCCTGTAGGATCTGGTATCAAAGATGCTTCACGTAGATCCTCACCAGCGTCTCACAGCCAAGCAGGTCCTTCAGCATCCTTGGATAACCCAGAAGGACAGTTTACCCCAGAGCCAGCTGAATCACCAGGACATTCAGCTTGTAAAGGTACAAAATTTGGAGTGGGAAAGCAGGCTGGAAGTTTGGAGAGGTGTGAGCCAGGGCAGGCAGTACGGACAAGCTGGGGTTTTTGGGAGATAAAAAAGGGAAAATTCTTTAACAGCATGTCAGTGCAGGAGGGGGACTTAAAGAAATAAGATTAATGCTTCTGGCTTTGTTTGTGGGTGTGTCTGCTCTGGTCCCCTGTCTTGTAAAGCCACGAGCCTGAAGCAGCTCTCCTGCACCTGAGTGACTCCTCTGCCTCTCTCCAGGGCGCCATGGCTGCCACATACTCGGCACTGAACAGCTCCAAGCCAAGCCCTCAGCTGAAGCCCATCGAATCCTCTATCCTGGCACAGAGGCGGGTGAAGAAGCTCCCCTCCACCACCCTGTGAGGCCCCACGGTGCAGGAACAGCCTGGATTTTGCACACCTATGGAAGAGGGGCACAGGGGACAGGCAGGGTCTGCACAGGGGCTCTCCCGGGGACTTGCTTTTAAAAGGCCAAGTGCCTTCCTGCTCCTGAAAGACTGGCTCCTCGTACAGACTGATCTTTGCTGAGAGAACTTCACTGTAAAACTTTTTTGATGTGTAAATTGTCGATTTTTAAAGAAATCCATCTGTGTATATGAGAACTAGAATGTATAACTGATGTCAAGTGGCACTAAAAAGCAGCTCTGATTCACCCTTCCCTGTGTAGGGCCAGGTATTTGTTGTCACTACAGCATTTCTTGGAACTGATCCTCTCCGACTCCACAGCAGCTGGAAGACTGTCACACCTGGGGTTTAGGCTTTGGGGCTTTTCCTCCCTCAAAGCTTTGGATGCATTTCCCAAAGCCAGCCCTGCAGCCTCCCAGCCCACGAAGGACACCCCTTCCCTCCAAGTCCTGTGTGTTTATTCCATGTAAGGTGGATTTTGCAGCCTCTGTTTCTCCCTCTCTGCCCAGCCAGCAGCTCAGATCTCTGAACAAAATAAACCACTTTTTTTCCAAGCCCTCCCATAGATGCTCAGCCGGCCAGGACACTCCTAGGTTTGGCTCATTCCTTCCCTGTGCCCTCCCATAGGGAGTTTGTCACCTGTGCAGGGGGGGATGATGACAGAACCTCCTCCCTGGCAAAGCTGAGGCTTAGGGCTGGCTCTGGCTGCTGCTTTTACCATTTGGGGTTTTCCTTCCCCTCAGTAGGAACCTCTGAACCAAACCACCCTTTCTTTTTTTAATTTAACTTTGTTCTCTGGCCGGTAACTCAGGGTTTCTTTCTGGCTCGTACAATAAACATTTCATTCAGGGTTACTGACTGTGAGCTGCAGAACCAGCGACCTGGGCGTTTCCTGGTCATTTCCCCATCGTTCCCAGGTTGTCCCTCCGTGCCATGCAGGGACAGTGCTCCTTGTCTGCCTCCTGGAAAAGCTGCAAAGCTTTTGATCAGACCAAAATCAGCTTTTGATCATGGGAAAACCAGCAGTGCTGCTTAGGGCAGCCTCTCCACGCTACCTTCTCTCAGTGGGACGTGACCAGAACCAGTCCTGGACTGAGGCAAAAACCAACAGGAATGGGGAATTTCTTACTCTCAGGACACTTCTGTGCTTATAAAAACCAAAACTTGGAGAAAAACTGTGCTAGAAATAAATACCCACCCCGTTCTGACCTGCTGGGAATTGCCAGAGCTCCGTGGTTCCATGGTGGCATTTCTGGGAGCAGCAGGATTGCTTGAGGATGTGACTGGAGCCAGCAAAGGTCCTCATGTGAATTTCTGCTACTTTTGGCTGATCATGTCACAAGAAAGGAAACTTGCTTTTTTGTTCAGTACCAGTTGGCTCTAAAATGGAGAATTCCACAAAAATAATTATGTGAGATGCACATTGTTTGGGGTCATTCAGCTTTAACTTGGGACAAAGAAGATAAGGAGGATATCATAAATTGTCTTGGTTTTAAAAGGGGCAAAAATGGATTTAACTTCCATCCATAAGGACATTTTACAAGGAAAACTACCTCTGTTAGATCAGGTATTTAATAGTGGATTTGATCTTAAAGCTTTTGTCCTGTAGATCTGAATGAAAGCTCAAGGGAGCAGAAATCCCGGAATCCAGCCTCAAATTGCTGAGTCTACCTGAAAATAACCTGTGCAGAAAGAGCATATTGATCCAAAGTCAAGGAGCCCGAAAATAATATTGAACAGCTCTATATAATACTATTTCTGTATAATGCAGGCTAAATTTTCCTATTTTGGAGCATAAATCAGCCATTTTTCTGTTGTAAGGGGCTGACCCAGCTGAGAGGATGTTTCCCTTCTTCCCACTGTGTAGCTGTGCCTTTCTCTTGCTGTCAAATTCACCAGGGCATCACTAAGTGTCTTTTGGCCTGGGAAATATCCCCATCAAAACTCAGTTTAAAACTGAAGGCCAGCAGCTTTCATCTTCTCTTTCTTTTTCATAGTGAAACTTCACTGAGCAACTAATCTGTGGTTTTAACTTTTTAAACTTTAATGCAAGTCCCTCTCCAAGTTCCCACCTTTGAGTCAGTCCGTGTAAATCTTTGTTCAGCATCTCTAGGCACTGGTGGATGGTGAGCTGGGCAGCTGGAGGCCTCCTGGGTGCCACCCCCTCCTCGTGGTGGCCTCCTGGGTGCCACCACCTCCTCGTGGTGGCCTCCTGGGTGCCACCACCTCCTCGTGGTGGCCACGGCCGCTTCCCAAGGCCGCAGGAGGCTTCGGAAGTACTCGGTGACTGTGAGTGAGTTCCACGGGATGTGGGGTGGATGCTGTGCTTTCATGGAATATTCAACAATTTAATCCGTCTTTCAAGGCAAAGAAAACATTTAAAATATTTCAAGATCTTCTTTCGGCAGTACGTGGGGGCTCTGAATAAAACCTTCACTCACGCCGGGGAAGCCGCAGGTCCGCTGCCACTCCATTCCTTGCCTCTGCTTATTAAAACATCAAGCTGTCTTAGTGCCTCAGCTCAGCCCAGGCGCTGCCTCCCTGCCTTTGTGTGCCACTGAACACCTGCCATTAATACTAATTCGACTCCGGAGGGAAACTCCCTTTCAGATATGCTTGTCTGAAAATAAATTGACATGTAAAAGGTCTCTTTTGTCGAAGTGCAGGGAAAGTGCCGGGGTGAGGCTCACAAAAGGAGCCGCTGACTTTAAATGATGTGGAGGGGGTGAGAAATGCGAGAGGTGGGGGGTGATGTTGTAGCTGGGCGGATGGGATGGACTGGAGAAGAATCCCAGAGCTGCGACCTCTGCTTGGTGCTACATTTGGAGATTTTGGGTGGTTTTTGTCTAAACCCTGCTTGTCTCAGGGTGAATGGTCAGGGACTCCTTTGGAAAAAAGTATTTTCGTTTCAGAAAAATTTGTTATTACAAATATCTGCAACCAAAACTAAGAGCAGTAGTTGTGAACTCTTCAGTTTAAATGTGTAATGAGCTCCTGGGTTCTGTTGTTTTTGCTGGGACAAAAGTTTGTCTCTCTTTCAATTAGGAAGCAGCAGAAGAATCCTTGGTTAGTGTTTATTCTGTCCTACAGGCAGCAGTGTGGGCCAGCAGAAGGTCAATATTTTTATTTTTAATAGAAAGAATGATTTGCTTTCAGCTCCTCATACACCAGGGAGACCATGGCTCTCTACTATGAAAACATTTTTAAGTCGGTTCTTTGGGCCAAGCTTTGGAGAGAGTGACACTGCTTGAAATTTGTGTTGGTGCTGAAATGGCACAGCCCCGTGGCTGGGAATGAAAACTGAAGTGTTGTGGACCTGACATTCAGCTGCTGCTCACTGGGATTCTGCTTCCTCTAGTGAAGAAATAATTCACTTCATAATGAAGATCAAGTCAGAATATGTTCAGGGCTTGAAATAAGAAAAAAAAAAGGAATTGTGGCAATTACAGAAACGTTCCAGATTCACTGGTGTCGCGCCTGGTTTATCAAACAAGCTCCCAGTGCTGCTGAGCTCCAATGCCATCTTCCTTTTAAACAGCAGATGGTGTTAGAAACCTGTAACAGGTGGAAGCTCTCCAGTTTTATGTGAGAGATCAGAAGTAGCAGCAATTTTTGTTTCCCACGGGGTAGTTCCTTCCCGAGCTGAACAACAAGCTGGCCCTTTGCTTGGAGAGTTCTCACCGAGGGGAAAACTCCTGAATTACACATATTCATATGCAAGAAAGTGATTCTGATTTCACTTATTCTGGGTAGAATAAAAGGAACCTTGTGATGGCCTCCATAACCCTCTGCTAGCAGCTCTAAAAGAGGGATGTAGTGGGGGAAATGGGCTCTGTTTGCTGGTGTGCCTTAAAATCCGGCTCCAATCTGCCAGATCTGTTGGTTCCTTGTCTATAACAGCACTTCGCATGCTTAAAGTGTTTTATAAACATTTAATTACCGCAGCTTTTGACTCAAAGCCAGGAATCTCTCATTCATCTGCTGCTTGCGAGGGTTGTGAAAATGATATTCAAATCATAGAATTACAGGAAGGGCTGAGTTCAAACCCCAGCTAAAGCAACCTGCACTGCTGGGATCCGTGAGCAGCGCTCGTCCGCAGGGCCGCGTTTCCAAAGGGAGCGACTCCAGCAGTGGAAATGGAACCGTGGCTTGGAATGCAGAGAGATCTGAGGGGCTGTCGGTACCCCAGGACACGGAGCTGCATTTTAATCATGTTAGGGAAACGAGATGCTAAATTCTGTCAGCTGGTGTGGTATGAACTTCTGAGGCAGGCGGGGAGTGCGGCTCTGTCTAGACCAGAGCCCTGTTTGATCCCCCAGCCTGGGCCTATTTGTTAAAAGTCGCTTTTTTCCCACCCACCAAACCACTTGGAATTTTAACATCTGCTCCACCCCAACTTCCAGCTCTGTTTTTTAAAAGGGGAAGCCCCCAGGAGTCAATGGGGTTTGTGACACCAAGTGGAAGCAGCAACTAAAGATAAAGAACTTGAATGGGATTAATAATTTCTATCCGACCATCTGCCTCTTTCACCAGCTCCCTTTCCTGAAGAGCACATTGTACCTGCAGAACCGGGTGTGCAGGAATAGAAATCATTTACTTTCCATAAAAATTGTCCAGAGCAGATGTGGCTGCCCCATCCTGGAGGTGTCCAAGGCCAGGCTGGACGGGGCTTGGAGCAGCCTGGGACAGTAGGAGGTGTCCCTGCTCATGGCAGGGGTGGGACTGAGTGGGCTTTAAGGTCTCTTTCCTCCCAAACCCTTCTGGGATTCAATAAAAAAAAAAGAGCTGTTGGCTGGCTCTGTGTCTTTTGGTGGATCCACACAAACAATCACTGCTGGGCAGGGCAGGAAACCCAGAAAAGCTGTTCTTCTACAAGCTGACCCTGATCTCACTGGCTTGGGGTAAAACTATCAAGGAGAAAACCTGCATCTGCACCTGCTGACCCCTCCAACCTTCTGCCGTTCTGAAGGCAGACTGTGAGCCCCTTTAATAAGCTGCTGGCAATCAGCCCCTTTTTAATGAGGCAGATCCCCAGTTCCAAGGCCCTGGATCACTCAGTGCTCGCTTTCTGCTCTGTGAATTGCGAGCACACCACGAGCAGCCACTCTCAAAGTAATCCCAGAGTCCCTTTTCCTGCCCTGTTTAAAGACGGGGTAGGGAGTCCTGTGATGTTTCATTAAAGCTGGCTTTTCTCCTCGTGGCAGAGCAGATTTAATCAGACCTGCCTCCTAGTTCCAGCTGCTGGGTTGGAG